CTGAAAGAGCGAGCATGTTTGGTGTGACGGGGATTCGAACCCGCGACCCTCAGATTGCGAGTCGAGCGCCCTAACCACCTGGCCATGCCGGGCCGGGAGAAAGTGGATAATACAAAGAGAAAAAAAATGTTTCAAGACAATTTTATAAGGTGAATAACTTCCATAATTAACTGTTAATATTATTTCGATTTTCTGTTAGAAAACTGTTATGTATCGAAGAAAATAACAATGTGTGGAATTTTATTATGTAGCCAACGAACTAACTAGAAAAAAGTTTAAACATCTAGATCTAGGTGGAAAATTACTATACGGTAACACTGCATGTAACTAGTGAAGGGAAAGTTCAGAAGGCATTAGGAAAATCCTTCGAAAATCTTATACACGTGAAAGGTGACTCAATATGGTGCAGTAGGTTACTGCATATTGCATCGTATTCAGTAATTTTATGTTCGTTACTGTTAGAAACAATTGGATTAAATGATTATTTTTTTGGGTAAAATACATAGCAAACTACAGCATTTTGTAGTTGAATTAGTTTCAATATTTATGGTGTCTTTACTTACCTTTTTTTTACTCGTAGATTACTAGGAACACCGTAACTCATACAGTAACTATTAAACGGTCTTTCAAAAATCTATGAGATTCATATGACTACATTGGTATTTATAGGATTAATTGGTGTAATTATAGAGTGAAATTATTTAATACTTGCTGAGAGAGATGTATGTGATTAAGTTGTAAATGTTTCTAGGTAACTTCATAACTACTCATTCTACTTCTTTTCTGATCTGCCATAACAGAGCTTATCTTGGAATACATTTAAGTCATTGAATACCTTGACATTTTGGGATTTTAGATCTGTAGTTTTTCTGATCATTCATTTTATAGTAATTCAACAATACTCTGCCAATTTCTTTGAATAACAGTGGCCTTAGTATCCACATTATTGGTCTTAGCTTTCTTAGTATTTATATCCTTAAATGCTTGCCAACTTCCAATCATAACCTCTTTATATGTCTGGACATATTCTAGCCAGTGTTCTTCTGCTCGTTTTCATATTTATTTTATATATTTCTTGCAATATCTATTGTTATATTTTCTATATTTCTGTTGGGTCGGGTATGGCAAAGTGCATAGTGTGCTGCTGGACTGAAAGGTTTAGAATTGGAATAAATTATATGCTACATTTTTAACTGTAGTAACATTATGAAAATTGCAGTGAACTTTGCTATTAAGTTAAGAATAGCTATTTTGGTGACGGGAAGTGCTAACTGACTGCCTTCTTCTGGTCAGAATTTCTAAATTATGGATGGTTATGTCTGAACCTTGGAGTCTCTGACCTGGTTGCTCAGCTCGTGTGTCGCATAATGTCGTTTTCAGATTGAAAATATCAAATACTTCCCCCTTTTTTGCAATATTGTTGCATTCCTTATCTTTCCCACTATGTTATATCATTTTGTTTCTAAAGTATTCGGCCATGTTCTGTTTGTTTCAATAAAAATTTAACTTCCTGTTATCGATAATTTTTAATACATTTATCTTTTGTTCGTGTTTTGTTTTCCATCATGCTTTCCCAATATTCTCGAATTTTTCCGAAAATAAACTATAAAGAAATTGATAACACATGTAAAACAAACTTTAAAAAATATACATACAAAATGTCTGTAACGAATATTACAACAAACAGGAACTACTACCGATTCATTTCACACACAGACTGATGCTGTGAAGATCATGAGTCACTGTGGCATGAGTTACGGACTAAAGTTCATTGCGTATTCCAGGAACTCTAGACAATTAGTTTAACGATCCATATAATATGTAGAGCATACTTCTTGGTTTATATGTATGAATATGCATACGCATACGATATATATCTAGAATTTGATTGGCTCATGTTAATTTCAAAATTAGTTCTCTACATAAATTGTAATTTAAACTAGTATTTTGGTGATGATCTCATCGCCCACTCCCTAGTGACTCATGTTGGAACTGTCCGCCTCTAATAGCCCACTTTGGAAATATTTACCCACTAGCAACATATTTTAGAGCTATCCTCCCTCTGGTGCCATTCTGTAGAACTATGACATCACGTGACCCCCTGGTTTCGAAGGATATCTTCCTTACTGGATGAATTCAGGTTTGAATAAAAGAATTTAAATTGAATAGTGCTATACATTCTTACATATTGACTCAGTACTTACTGGCTACTTATGTAGAGTTTTTGCATGGTATTGTGTATTCATCCTTACCTGGTTTCTGTACTTTTTGGCATTGCCATTCCTACATCATACTTAACTTTTGTAATTTTTTTATTACTTGTTCTCTTATTTTTTAAAACAATCTCATTGAAGTAAGTTGATAAGTGAACATTTTTTTTTTATAATTCAATTGTAATATATGTATATTTAATATCATATCTGCTTTGTCAGTTTCTCTAATTTTGAACTACACTGGGGGGCCAATGAAGCAGAAATGGCTCCTTCAGGACGGTAGAAGTACCCCGGAGCGCTGCACTGACGTTAAGGGGATATTTACAAAACTCACGCCTTATAACTTCAGCCCCCCAGTGGCACAGCGGTATGTCTGTGGACTTACAACGCTAGAAACCGGGTTTCGATACCCGTTGTGGGCTTAGCATATATAGCTTTGTGCTTAACTTCAAACAAACAAACAAAAATTATAACTTCACTCCAACTCACTGCATGTACAAACAATTGACTTCACCACATGCTAGGATCATATAGATTAATATCGAGGACATCATGCAGATCCAAGTTCATGAAGTATGATACCTCGAATAGACACACAGCTGTAGACTGCTATATAATTATTGTTTTGATAATTAAGAAACTGATGTTTTAAAACTCAGACGTCAATAACATCTACACAGATGTGTCAGTTGCATTAATACTTGGTCTTCCTGATACCTTGATTATAAGTTAGATTTTTTTTATTGAAATTTTTTGGCAGATATGAAGTTTGTGCGATGAAAAGTCACAAACGGTCATTACATAAGAACAATTTGTGCTATCGTCTAAGCGACCAGAAATGAAACTGTTATTGAATGAAACATGAAATCAGATATGCTTATAAACAGAATTTGCTGTTAAGTAGTAGTTTTCCTATTTATTATTTACTAACAGAAGTGTAGGTAGAAAAACATATAATATTAATGTTATACAAGCTGTGAAACACTCGATGATGGCAATTAGGTACTCAAATAAGGCTATAACTCTACGTTAGCAGTTATTTGTATTCATCATAGAGTAATATATTGAATACGGTAGCCATTTTGACTCTCAACCCATCCCTACATACTAAGCACTACTGTGCTTAGTGATAAGGTATTGTTCAATGTATCTCCTCAATTATAAACGAACGTATACTATTGAGTGTTTTCCCATATGATTGAGCGCTCGACTCGCAATCTGAGTGTCACAGAATACTTCTTGCAAAGTTGCTGTAAACAGTTTCTGAGATATTGGATCACTCTGACTCACCCCTCTCTCTATCGTTATCACTGATGATACATCTTTATCAAGATGTATTTTTGCTGTTGCGTCTTAAGATTTCGATGTACGTTAGATTGACGCTTATTGTAGCTCTAGTCTATCACTGTTAAATTACGAACGGCTAGCGCAGATAGCCCTTCTGTAGTTTTGTGCGAAATTCAAAACAAATTAAACCAATCTTTCCACACTTGAAAAAAACAAAACAATAATATCAGTTACAGTTAAGTGTCAACCCCAATGATAAAAGAAAATTTACTTAGGCTTCTCTCAACACACATAAAAGAACAATTGACGACGTCTCTTTTAAAGTTTAAAATAATATTACCCTTAGACACTTCTTCACAGCTTCAAAATAACCCTTATTTTGAATTAATCTGGTTATCGAACTTAGATTGGAACTCTGAAAATTTTATGACCAACTACTAGTGCATCTTTACACTTTACTTCATATTTATAGAATTAACTACGTTTCAGTTTTAGAATAAAGGTTTTTAGTTCCCAACCTGAAGCGCCTCCTGCTACTGTAATATTGTGGCGTATTGTTATATGATATATTGACTAAAAATTAAAGAGATAATGCTTTATGTTTAATGATTGATTTAATTGCTGCAAATCACACCAAAAAGAAAAAAGCAAACATTCAAGACTATTTTTTATGTTAAAGCTGAATTATTTACAGTTTGTTTTTAAAGTCTTTTGATAAACCAGAAACACTTGAAATAAAAGGAGTACACACTTTTTTAAGATATTACAAAATAAATTAAGCTGAATAAATTCAGCAAGAACACCAGTATCTCAAAACGTTGCTTGAAAAAATATTTATTTCACTCTAGGCTACATAGGTTTCAAAATGTTTAAAGATGCAAATGCACACAATTAAAAAGTGTAATAATATAATCCAACAAGTCACTATCCTATTGATTTGAACATATAGCACAAGGTATTTGCTTAATTTTTATTTCAGTGGATTATTTCAAAAAGTTATAATTAAATGTTTAGTTTATTATGGTAAAAACATATTTGTTGCATAATGTTGCAGTGCATTTCCGTTGACTGTTCATAACTCAAGAACACGTGTAACTAATTCATAAACTCGTGCTATTTTAATGTGACTGTTTATTTCTTGTTGACATATTTAAAACACTTGATGTGTTTTACGTGAGCCATTGCGGAAGAGAGATGAAAGGAATACTGTTCATCTGAATTTGTAGTAGCTTCGTCACATAAAAGTCCAGAGCATCTTGAAAAACTGGAAAGAAACTAAACGGAAATAGAGTAATAAAGATGTTTATTAGACTGCAGGAGAAAGCATCACAGTCGGTTGCTGTTATATTCGTCTGTGTGGGACCTGCAATCTCCATCCTGAATATTGTCGAGTTTTCCTGGCATCCAAATTGTACATTAGTTTCGCTTATTATATCTAAAGCAGAGACTTGGAAGGTAATTTTCGCAGAAATGGTTCGGAAATAAAAGGGTCTGACACAATTGCACTGCACAACAAGATTGTTAAGACTGAATTGGTTCCAAATCAAACTTTTGTTCCCAGAGCAGGACATGTACGGTGTGGCCACTCGTGTCAGGTTGTAAAAGCTATGAGCTATGCAGTCGTTACAGTTAAACATTGCCATATTAGCAGAAACGTTAAAACAGCAGAATGTTCCATTCCAATTGTCTACAACTTGAGCTGAGATAAAATCTTGATATTTTATAATTAGATCTGCCATTAATGGATGGCATGAATTTTGTGGAAGAAAAGGTTGAAACGCCATCCCTGTACTCGTCTGGCTAGCTGAGGATAAGAAGCATGTATATTTTACGAATAAAAGTACATCTTACATATTTGGGAAAATCATGAAGTGTTTATGTTATTACGTAATGGTTTTTTTGAAGCTATAATTAGGTGAATGATAAATTATTTTTAAATACTGCGTATTCAGTATTTATCTTACCTACATAGAAAAGAAACCATTTTTCACATAACCAATATTTACCTTGTCTTTTTCATCTGTGGAAACAAATTAGGAAACATTACATAATCATAGTTTAAACATATATATACTATCATTCAGAAAAGCCTAGGGACAAATTATTATAAACTGTTGGACATTCACACGTTTTTAAAGAACAAAGAAGGAAAATGTACAAATCATTTCAATTATTTTTTTTATGAAGAATATAAGAAAACTTCATTTGATGATATCTTTATAAACCACCTAACTCTCTGATAAAGCTCCAAAATGCAGCATTCAGCTGTTCAGGAAGCAGTTTCGTTTCCTTAATCATTGATAAGCTTTTTCATTCATATTCAATTGAATTGAGATGTTATGAAAATATGTGTACTATAGAAGGTTAAGTACGATATATTAAAACGATTTTGAATATACAAATCATCAAATCATGTGACAACAGTAATCGATCTAAAGTCATTGTGTATCGACATGTATCAAAACTACAAGTTTACGCTGTGTTTGGCTTTCATAGGTAGTGTGATGCCACCGTAAATCGATCTCTTTTGAAAAAGCATAAGTAACAGCCCTCTCCGACGCAAAAATACTCATATATTCAGATAAAAAAAATGTGCTTTAATAAGGAATTAAGGATTTCAGAAATTGGGATAACTGTTGTATTGGATGGCATTGGAAAAGAAAGGAATATTCGGAAATATATTTGCATTCTGTCTTACCCCAGCCGTGGTAAGTAATGTTCTGTGTCTGGTAACAGGTGAGAAACCATGAACACAAAGGTCAGTAGTAAAAGCCGTCCACGTGCCCCAAGCAACAGAACTCAAAATATTCAAGAAGGATCCCAGTTTAGAAAGGCAACAGAGGCTGCTTCTGTGACATATTTGTTCAACTGAAGCAAACCTCAAACAGCTGGAGAAAGGAATGGGTGTTCATCCTGTTCCATCTGAAAGCATACCGGCAAAGTCGCCAGATGCACTGCCTATGGATTAATGTTCAATTGAATTGTTGAAACAGCCACTGGAAAACTATAATATTCGTAAATTAGATGGCTTAGGAAAGCACGCAAGGAGGAGGGATGTGCTTTAGATATGAAAGTCTTACGATGGAGGCTTTACAACATGAACTACATTAAAGCACAGTAAGACCGTGAGGAAGAGCATGACCGAACGTAGCGACACGGACTGGGATGACGTAGTGAGTGTAACGAATATATTGTTATGTATTAATTTTTAATATGAACGTTGTTAGATTAAATTTGTATTTAGAAATATGCGTAACTTATAGTGTCTGATATGTATTGCATACAACGAATTTGTTATATATTTATTTTAATGACAATGTTTGTTTGGAATGAGTTTATATTTAAAAACGTGCCTAGCTTACATTGTTAGTTACGTGTGGCAAAACTTCCGCCAATTCTCCAAGATTGTAGAATATTCGTGAATGCAAGAATCGACAATATATTCACTTCCATAACCGGTTAAATATAGTTCAGTATTATTGTCCGAACTTTCAAGAAAATCTTTCTAGCGCCTATAAAAACAGTCAACACGACGCGCCAAAAAAAGAGAGCTTATAAGTCTGCTAGGAATCTGTTATAACCGTGTACGCTATAAACCGTGATTTTACTAACCCTTATCAACCGGAAAATATAGGACATTTGACCAGAAAATGTTATAAATTTCGAACGTCAGTGAATTCTCATCAAACGTTGGCATCTTTCCAAAAATATTGCTGGTTTCTCATCGGAAATTAATGGTTTTATGAAAATATTATCTTACTTCGACGGTCCAACAATTCAGTGTCTGACAAAGCTAGCTAGCTTCTCTGAAATTGTACGTACATCGACTTCAAGTTAACTCCCTGAATATCAAGGAGACTCTGAAATAGAAAGAAGATTTTGTGTTGTTTGTAAGTTAGTGAAATTTTTGTTTTATAAAACTTTGCTTGTGGTAACTATTCGTAATAAATAAATTGTACTGTTGTATATATATATATATATTAAAACGTATTTGTACGAAAAACGAAGAAAGTGTGTGTCAGTCTTGTTGGAAAATAGCGTAAATTAATTAAAATATCGGCTTCGGACTATTCTAAGTTCTCAATAAGTAACACGGGGCACTAAAATCGTTTTAGTATAGCGTATTCAACCTCTGTAGAGTGTTTAACGTCGTACAACTTTCTAGCTTGATATAAATAGAAATAAAACACAACAGAGTATCGTATTGTTCTGTGTTCTGAAACACACCATGTCAAGCCGTCATTATAGAACACAAGATAGTGCCAAATTAGTCCATGTTCTAAATAATCAAAATACTATACCGCTCTACGTTCTAATTTATTCACTTCAACGTAAAACATTAAAGTTTTACAGAAGATTAATTAAAGGATAAGAAATGAAGCTGTGGTTTGGTCAAGTTCGTCAGTTCTGTACTACAGTCTGTATAGCACTCAGTTTTCTAACACCTAAAACACTTACATTCCGGATTCTAAGTTGTTGTCTCGAGGTCTTGGTTCATGTTATTTATTATTTCAAATGTTTAATTTGTTAAAATAAAAATGTGTCACACTTAAGACACAATTTACACTTCGAAAGAATCGTTATGCAATTAAGATAGGAAAATAATTATTCAGTTTAATGCTAAGTACGTGTATTAATCTTTAAATACATCTGTATCAATATGTATATCAATATAAAAACAAAAGTAGTTGCGTATTTGAACATTAGTAATAAAAACTCAATAACATGTGTTGAAATTGTGCTGTTGTATTTCTATAATAACTTATGAACACACATAAAAATAATTTGTAAGCAAATAAAATGGTTTAAATTAATCTTAATTCCAAAGAAATTAAAAAAAATAACATAGACGAAATGTCGAGAAAAAAACCAATGGAATTTAGGAAATCAAAACCAATCACTAGATTATATTTACCAACAACGACATCAGCTAGGAATACTTACCTACAAACATCTGATTGAGTACGATTTCATACAATAAATAGGAGAACAATGGAATCATCAGGCTTAGGAAATTCATTTTCCAACTGTGCTCTGAAATAATATATGCCCGTTGTTACATAACAGGTGTGATACTTAGATTATCTTATCTGCAATTAAGTTGATACTTTTTGTAACTTATGAAAATATCAGATTAGGTTTCCTTTTTATTTGTTATCGACTAGTATCATTATAATGTAAGCAAAATTACTGTATTTTATTTACTTTTTCCATTTTAATGTTACGTCTTCTCTAACTGGGTAACCTGTTGGAGACACTTTAATACATAAATAAACAAGAGGAAATCCTCAGTAGCTGCGGCACTTGAAATTCTCTTAGGTAGGATTAGAGTAAATTAATCTATGAGATATTTTTTGCCATTTTATGAGCTATATTTTTGTGCGCCAGCAATCCAAGCGTGAGGTGCGCATATACCTGATTCGATTTTATTAATCAAATTGAAATTATTTTAAGTAGGATTAGAATGTATTAATCTATGAGACCAATATATTACACCAATCGAAAGAATTTGACCTCGTGAGTTCAAAACTGTAATTAAATCTCAAATCGGTCAAGAGATGATGGAGCTATGAGCTAAGAGTTTGTACTTGAAAAAAAAACAAACAAACTCAGAGCTGTTCTATGAACCGCTCAGTCGCGACTAAAAAAAGAAAATGCTCAAAGCAGACAAACATATTTTAACTCTAGAATTACCAATGGGATAAATATCGGCTTTTAAACCATATTTTCTAAATTATTTTTGTACGGAATGTTTTCTGGATCCATGACTTTGTTGTTTATAGGATCGCTAATAATACGAGTCACACAATAAACAAAAATACTACCAATACTGCAATTTATCTAAGTACGTAAAATCAACAATTTGCTATGTATTTTACATAGAAAATGAATGATTTCACTCTTTATGTTTGGCACGTTCTTTACTTTCAATGTTGTAACAGTCAGGAACATAAAAGTATTTAATAAGATGCAATATATGGATCCCACTGGTAATCAACGTATATTTAAGTATAGTTAAGTACATCGTATATTTTGGAAGAAAACTTTTTTATAATTTAATTATTTCCTATAGTATTTACTGAAATTCGAAAAAAAAGTATGTAGAAATAACGAAACTATTATTATTATTTTGGTGAGATAAATTAACTTATACATATGTTTAAAGCTGCCTTCAGTTTTTGCAAAATTAAAAACTATCAAGGGAAGGAAGCAGGAATGTTTCTAATAGAGCTAAGAAGGCAAATTAGAAAAACTTTAGTGTAAAATGTATATTAGAACAAATAATCCCCCCAGTGGCACAGCGGTATGTATGCGGACTTACAACGCTAGAAACCGGGTTTAGATACCCGTGGTGGGCAGAGCACAGATAGCTCTTGTGTAGCTTTGTGCATAATTAAAAATAAACAGAACAAGTAAAGAGTACGTAATTTCTCTTGAGGAACATTATGTTACGGGATATTAAATGTGAAACACAAATACGACTTTTTCGGCCTAATGAAATATAAAGTCCTTATTAATTGTATCAGTAAACTGGTTATCATCGTCACAGTTTGTAAATTAATTCTTAGACTTGGTGTGATATCTAAATGTAAACAATGAAAAAATATACTTAAAAGCAGTGGGTGGAGGTTATTACCCTACAACTGTTGGCACAGCTTTTAATGAAATGAAAGACTTAACAAAAATCATCTCAAATAAGTTACCTAATTTATCATTTTTTGTGTGATTTCGGGAAAATTTTTAAAAACATTCCAATTCAAGGGTTATAGATTTTGTTACTCAAAACACGATTGTTTATCTTTTACAGACACTTAACGATTAAAAAAAAAGATGTAGACAAAAATGTAATTATGAAATAAGTTGTAGTTGTGAAAAACTTGAATAGGACAAACAAGAAGGAAATAAAAACAAGACTGAAAGAACATCAGCATAACATGAAATCTATTAACACCAAATCCTGCGGTAGCTGAACCTCGGATTGTAAATATTCCTGGAAAATGTGAAATGTCAAGAAATGTACAAAAACAAAAAGTAAGTTAAGATAAAGTATTTACATAATATTTGTGTAAATACAGATGATGTACCAAGCAACGTGTCCTTTTGGAAACAAATTATTTGTGTTTGTTTTGAATTTCGCGCAAAACTACACGAGGGCTATCTGCGCTAGCCGTCCCTAATTTAGCAGTGTAAGACTAGAGGGAAGGCAGCTAGTCATCACCACCAACCGCCAACTCTTGGGATACTTTTTTACCAACGAATAGTGGGAAAAAAGAAATACTAAATAGGGACGAAGGACCAGCAAGTCAATATGTTGATACATTGTGAGATATATTATAATAATTATAAAAAATATATTAACAATAATAAAGTAGACCAAGGAAATGTGTATAAGTAATAGTGAAGCAATGCGAAAAGGGGTAAAAGTATAAAGCATGGCTTGTAAGTAACTCCTGAAGATAACGTAGATCACGTCGAAACTAGTACTTGTAGAGTGTTGTTTTAAAGTGGAAGCCGTACAGTTTCAGTAAAGTTTTAATTGTGTAAATAGTAAACGTTGTTTTTAATTATTTATTATAAACATAGTTTTACTTGCTTCAAAATAGACACGAGGCTATGACACAGAGAACTGCTTTAATCCCGCATGATAGTATATTATAACCTTCATTACTTGTATATACCAAGGAGGATTTAGTGGGCACGGTGGATGAATATGTGACTATCAAAGTTGCAAGTGTTTTGAACAGAAGATATTTGTACGGAGACCGAATGTGATACAACATTATGTTACACGAAATGTAATATGAATAGCTCATTTAGGCAGATGATTGTGAAACAATATGTTTTGTAGAACTATAAGTTCACCTAATTGACTAATTTGTCTTTTCAGCACATTAGTATGAGCCATTTTTCTCAAGGCACGTGTGTGTCAGTAGACCAAACTATGTCCACAAATAAATTTATGATAAAGATTAGGTATAAACATAATATTGATAATGTGATTTTGAGGGGAAAAAACGCATTTTCTGTTCTTATTTCCCTTATATAACAATACAAATTAAAATGTTTATCACTCTTTCATGTACATTGTTGATCTTCTAACTATTGTGAAGTTAGATTTTCTGAAAGTTATTCATAAACAGATGACAATTCTTGAAAAGTCCAGAACTTTCCTGATTTGACCCCAGGTGATATTCATGACCTTGAAAATGACGTTAAAGGGCAAAAGTGAGAATGTTACCCACATAACTATTAATTATTATTTTCTTTAGAGATGAGTGGGCGACTGCTTTTACCAAGGAATGTGACCAAAACGTTTTATTCGCGATGTGGCTGGTAAACTAAAATGGCTCCTGGTGGCTAAAAAAGTAACCCTGAGGGTATATAATTGAGGTGGACAGAGCAGAAATAGCTCACGTGTAACTGCGCTTAACAACCAAAAGCAAATAACACACTATAATAAAAATTTTATCTTCCATAATGGCAGAAAGTATAGATTTTGTTTTTTGCTTTTAATTAAAGAGATGTTTTTGTATCAACAGTTAAACAAAAAGGTATTTTTTAAACTATCTAATAAATACGATATTCTATTAAAGATCTAATCTAAACTATATTCTGGTAAAGATCTAATCTAATCTGTATTCTGTTAAAGATGTAGTCTAAACTATATTCTGTTAAAGATGTAATCTAATCTATATTCTGTTAAAGATCTAATCTATATTCTGTTAAAGATGTAATCTAAACTATATTCTGTTAAAGATCTAATCTAAACTATATTCTATTAAAGATCTAATCTAAACTATATTCTGTTAAAGATCTAATCTATATTCTGTTAAAGATGTAATATAAACTATATTCTGTTAAAGATGTAATTTAAACTATATTCTGTTAAAGATCTAATCTAATCTATATTCTGTTAAAGATCTAATCTATATTCTGTTAAAGATCTAATCTAAACTATATTCTATTAAAGATCTAATCTAAAAATATTATGTTAAAGATCTAATCTAGACTATATTCTATTAAAGATCTAATCTAAACAATATTCTGTTAAAGATCTAATCTAAACTATATTCTATTAAAGATCTAATCTAAACAATATTCTGTTAAAGATCTAATCTAAACTATATTCTATGACACTGGAGAACTAGTAGAACAGATTTTATAATCTTGACAATCTAAATAAAAAACATGTAACAATTAAAGATTTACCATAAAGAATATGTGATGATTACAATCTACATAGAGTTTTAAAGATTCGGAAAACAGCTATAATGGAATAGAAAAAAAATATCAAATAAAACCACTTTTCGCCACTGTTAACGTGGCATCCGACCTGATGACATAACGTTAACAGTGGCGAAACGTTATTTCATTCGATATTTTTTCCATCCTATGTTAGCTAAATTTTGAAGTGCGTGGGATACCTCCAGCATCTATACAGAGAGTTTTATTCTATTATATTATAGATCGAATTCAAGAGATATACTCTTCAAAATCTTGTCTTAAAATTGGGATATAATCTTAACAAATTAAGCCATCGAATAGGTAATAATTTTATAGGCCTATTCTACATGATATGTTACAACGTCCACGATATATTCAAAAAGTATTTTAGTTCAGACTATCGTATAGCATATTTACAACATGGAAATATATTTTACTTACTTTCTTGTACGATCTATTTGAAATGGTAGGTTATGTGCTCACACGCAGAATTTAGGTTCAGGAACGTAAGTCCAATATATATATATTATAAAACATGAAAAGATTTACAAAAAAAGTATAGGTAAATTTCCCTACCTCTTTCTTCAGTGTTGTTGCTCAACTTTTGTTCTTGTCATCAAATGAATAATCTGGTTTCTGTTGTAATGAGAGACTGTGTATTCTCAGGTGCAGGATGTTTGCGTTGCATGATGCTAAACTTTAATTCAAACATTATTTGTGGAATTACTTTATAAATTACAGGAAATACTGAATAGTCCCGGAGCCTTCTTATGTGTTTGCACACAAAATGTTACGAATGACAGTAAAAT